AAAAAAAGAGTCTATTTAGCTTACAGTTGAGAGGTCCAAGGGCCAGAAGCCACCTCAGTGGGGATCTTCTGAATGCATCACAACACGGAGGGCAAGAGAGCCTTGTGAATTCCATGTGTCTCTCCTGGTCTCATGCCCCCTCCTTATAAACCCACCAGGGATCACTCATAGGAGCCTCACCCTAATCACTGCAAAAGACCCTCCTTTTAGACATCATAGAAGTATTAAGTTGCCTTCAATCAAATCTCAACACATGAATTTTGGGATCATGAATCATAGCAAAGGGCCTGGGAAGATGAGACCCATACACAAATAACCACAGACCATCAAGGGGCCTCCACAGCCTGCCACTTTTCAGTGTGGATGGAGAATAAGGCCTGAACAGTTAGAGCCATTCATATCAGCTTTTGCTGCCCATTTAGTTCAAGTGTCTGGCCCCCTTAGCATTTAGAACATCCAGCAAATATAAACTTTAGGTCCTAATTTAGCACATCTCTGAGAGACCACTCCCATATCACCCACTGGTGACTTAGTGTCTGAGGGTGCTGTGCTGTTCATCTCAATGTGTGTTTCCTCGTGGATTTTTATTCTTCCTTCTTGCTCCATAAAGCTCTTGAGAATACTTTCTTGAGTCAGTTCTTTTAACCTACAGCCCATGTGAGTTCTCAAGTAGAGACAGCGTTTTATTTTGCCCAGGTCTGTGGCTGCATCGAAGATGGTGTCCTCTAAAAGAATTCTGTCATTTCTTCCCCAGGGAAAGCTGCGTACCCTATCGTATGCAGAAGCTAGCCAGCATATCAGTTCCAGGAGTGGGACTTTTCAGAGACCACTCACCTCATCCTAAATTCAGACTGCTGAAAATATTCTGCATTTGAAAATGTTCACAGCATTTTGAAAAAGTCGCCTGTTGTCTCCTTTTCCATGCCTGCAGCCACAGATGTCCTGAATTTTGACAATTCCTCAAACCCCTATTCTCCCCCCACCTTTTTTTTTTTTTTTCAGGTTTCTTTCCTTAAAGTATACCAACAATGTTCCGATTCTCTCCAGTAAGGATTTAGCATGGAGACTCAGGATTTCAAGAGAGCCTTTAACTGCTAGGAATAGCCCAGATAAGACCCTTATTGATCCTGTCTTGGGAGGTGTTGGCCAGGGAGCTGAGCTGCAGATTATCTCTCAGCAGCATTGAGAGCCAACCTCTGAACGGGCCTCTGGAAGTCTTCCACCCTTCTCCCCACTGTAGGCCTTTTTTGCTGTCAGTTGGGTCTCCCATGCTGGAGACCTAGGCTCTTCTTGCCTTGTATGGGGCCTATAGCCACTCAAGACTTATGTATTCTGTAATCTTTACTGGACAAAGTTTCACAGGATGAAGGTGACCCAGGGGACTTTTGTACTCAGGTACTGTGGCTCCCCTTTTGTCGCCTTTTCCAGCCCTGCAGCCACAGATGTCCTGAATTTTGACAATTCCTCAAACCCCTATTCCCCCCCCCCCTTTTTTTTTTTTTTCAGGTTTCTTTCCTTAAAGTATACCAACAATGTTCCGATTCTCTCCAGTAAGGATTTAGCATGGAGACTCAGGATTTCAAGAGAGCCTTTAACTGCTAGGAATAGCCCAGATAAGACCCTTATTGATCCTGTCTTGGGAGGTGTTGGCCAGGGAGCTGAGCTGCAGATTATCTCTCAGCAGCATTGAGAGCCAACCTCTGAACGGGCCTCTGGAAGTCTTCCACCCTTCTCCCCACTGTAGGCCTTTTTTGCTGTCAGTTGGGTCTCCCATGCTGGAGACCTAGGCTCTTCTTGCCTTGTATGGGGCCTATAGCCACTCAAGACTTATGTATTCTGTAATCTTTACTGGACAAAGTTTCACAGGATGAAGGTGACCCAGGGGACTTTTGTACTCAGGTACTGTGCTTGGTTGAGATGGGATAGCTTACCTCAGCTGTACCCATTAAGACCTCCCTAACAGTCTGAGCTTTTTTAGGTTATTTGAGGTTTATAGTTGGCTGAACTTGGCAATAGTAGGCAAAAGACCACTGCATACAAAGGTTTACTGATAATGATAAAGAGGGAAAGTGACTGGTTGGTGCTACTGTGTTCTGGGTAAGGCTTAGGGCAAAGACTGCCGTCTGGACCATGGTCTCTTCCAAGTGCATGAGTAGCCTGATAGGCAGCTCCAGATTGGCCTTGGCCACTGCCTAGGACTGTAAAAGAGATGCTGTGCTGATAGATATGAGCACATGAGTAGATGAAGGTTCACACCCCTTTTTAAAACTCAAACCTTTAAGCCTACTCATCCCTTACCCTGCTAGGTCTCTGATCTTTAGAACTTTCCTACCAGTTCTGCTATCTAATTATAAATGTCTTCATAAAAAAAAAAATTTAATTTAAAAAAGTGACTGAGGCAACAGGGTCATAAGTTCAAGACCAACCTGGGCAACATAATAACACCCTGTCTATAGGGAGAAAAAAGCAGCAAATGAAACTAAGTTGTAGATTTTTCTTCTTTTTTTCCTTTCAACTTTTGCTTTAAAATATTGTCAGTTTAAGCTAAATAGATCTGTAACCACCACTTCCGGAAGGAATTTAAGAGCCACTGATGAGTATATCTTACCCTTCCCCATGATTTGTGGTGCAGTGTAAGAGAAAGACTGCTCTAAGAAACCCAGAGCCCAGACATTCTAGTATTTGATCATTGAAAGGGTCTCAAGTTTTGTGTCACGAAGAGTTACATATCTCACTTGGGTCTGGTCTAGGCAGCCAGCCCTAGGTGTGCTTAGTGTCATTGTTAAGGGACCCTCATGGTAATTGCTCTGAGAACTCTGGTAGAACAAGGTAAGTTTGTTTCTGGAAGAGCAGAAGAGCATTTGACCACAGATATAGGCTGAAGACCTGTAGCTGACGCCTCGCTATGTTAGTGCATTCAACTCTGGACTGTTGAGACACTGGTAATCCTGGTGGAATATTGTCATGTAAACTGCCCACTGGGGTCAGTGCCTGTGAAAGAAAGAGCACGAGCCTAGCAGTCAGGCAGGGTGTTCTTCCATCCTGGCTCCTGAACTGCCCGTGTGACAGTGTCCACATTCTTGTGAGTCTCAACTTGTGAGTCTCAACTTCCTCATCTATAAAATGAAAACAAACAAAAATGAAAACTTCCCCAAGAATTCTTCTAGCTATTATCCTAATAATGAGAGTTATTAAATAATGTCCTGGAAATGACAGACTTGAGGCTAATTCATCTGGAGCTGTTCTGGAGGGAAAGAATGGGAATTACAAGGAATAATGTGTGTTCAGTTGTCAGACCCACTCAAGTTCTTAGGGCCATGAGGGGTAATGGTTCTACTGAAAAGGTGGGAGGAGTATTACAATGGAAAGTGTGAGAGAGAGAAGAATTACTTAGTGAGTCCTCATGGAGCCAAAATTCTGTTAAAAAATTTGCTCGTTTGATTCTTTTCTCCTTGGGAACTTCAAAGTCACCTGTGGTACTTACTAAGTATGTTTCCTTTGTTGGTCTAGTGACTCATCACATTCTCAAATAAGTGGTTTCTTGTCAACCAGGAGTAAGAGAGCTTGTCCCTGTTGGAAGTCCACTGGTGAATGAGCTGAGGAGGGGCAGCTTGTGTGGAGTGTGTGTATTTATCTGTATTCTTTTCCATAGGTACCATTAAATTTGTCTGGCTTAATTTAATGGGAACTTCTGGGACCTGCAGAGACTGTAAAGGGCGAGGGTAAGGTTTTTGTCATCTGTTTAGGCTCCTCTCCTTCCAATGGAATTTCCTCATTCTCTCCCTCTCCCTTTAGCCTCCTCCCTTTTCCAACTTGTATGTATGTTCTACCGCCTTCTCTCAATTTTCTCTTCCCTTTGTGTTTTTTCTTCTGCCTCTCAACAACCTTTCCTTCCAGGTCGTTTGAGTCAAGTTGAAGTAGGCAGCTGGTGTTTACCCACTTCCTCTCCCTTGGGGGGGGCCCAAGCTGTGTAATCAGTGATAGGGGCTTTATTCTAACACTCTGGAACCTCTTTTTTTTTTCTTTTTTGTTTTTCTCTTCTGTTTCCGTGTAGGTCTCTTTAGTCAGCCTTATAGCTAATGCCCTGGGCTACTCGGAACTAGGTGCCATAAAGTCCCTTAGGACCCTAAGAGCTTTGAGACCCTTAAGAGCCTTATCACGATTTGAAGGGATGAGGGTAAGATACTAAGAGCAGCTGATCCTTCTGCATGCCAGTGGAAACTGTTTAAGCATGCTAGAACTGATCACATGGTGGAAAGATCATTCAAACACGAATTCTGTGATGCAGCTGCTGATTTGATCCTCCACTCTTCTCCCCCGCACCTGCCCCGTGCGAAGGGAAGCTGCATTAAGCTGCCTCATCACATTAATATCGGCCCCACGCCCAACCACATGCCATCGCAGAACACGTCAACATTGGCTATCCTCATTTGGCCTGGCTTACCTGTAGCACTGGGGCGGCTTTCTGAGCTGTGGATTTAATAGGGAGAATCACCAGGTGCAAAGAAGGGGAATTCTAACCCACAGACCCCACTGCAAAGCAGAGGCTGCAGGCAGGGAAAGTGTTGTATAAAGGCATTGGCCAGGTGGGGACTGTGGCCTTGTAGTCACTGAGAAAGCATCTGAGAGGGGCTTGGAGACCTGATGGCTGGCCTGGAATTGGGGATGGAGCAGAATTTGGCATGGTCCTGGGAGAAGAAACACTTTTCTTTCTATTTCAATTCCTCTTATTGCACCTTGTTGTTCTCAGCCCAGTCCCATAAGGACTGGCAGCCTCTGTCTGATAGCAAAGCTTTCCTCCTCACCCCCCACCCCTGTGCCCATGCTATATGGCCCCTATCCTAACAGTGGCAAAACAACGACCAGGTCTGATGTTAGATGACTGAATATCAGCTAGTTCTTTAAAATGACTAAATACCTCCTATTCCTGCTTTGGTGATACTCCATCCAAATCCAAGCAGTACAAGGTGTTGTCACCCTGCCAACCTAGAAATAGGTGCCTTCTTTTGGTGCCTTTTCTTGTCTCTTTTGGTTTAAATAAATTGTGCGTGTGTACATGTGTGCATGCACACACTCACACTAAAAAGTCAATTTCCAAAACCACGTGGACAACTGCTTTTGGTAATAGTTGTCCTAGCTAATCAGAGAGGTCTGTTATACTTAACGAGACCAAGAAAACTCATTTTAATTCAGATGTCGAATACATGCAGGAGAGCAAACCAGAGGATATGTTTTTCAATGTGCAAATATCAGAATGTAGAAATAAAAATTAACCTGTTGCAATAGTCTACATGAAACAAGACCAAATGGAGAAACTAGATACCAGGACAGTGCTATTTCACTCATTCTTCATCTATGATTCCTCGCCGCTATTCTGTGAAGCCATCCACAGTTGTACAGGGGGATGACAATGTCACTGGAGCTTGGAAATTATTATTCTAGTTGATTCAGACAAATGTCATTTCCAACTAACTTGAGTTTCTTCTGTAGCACAGTCACAGTTTGGTTTGCTAAATGTACGCTTTCTGCAATCACCTTAAAACTGTCTGCTGGAAGGGCAGTTCCACGGCAGCATAAATTAATTTTTTAAGTGGAATTACAAGTCTTTTTCCCACAAATGAGACAGGTTTCAGAAAGTGTGCAGTAAGTTCTTTATTATGCTCAGGCTAAATTTAGGGAGAGAGACTATATTGCACAAGACTCGAGTTTAGATGGCCAACGTGGGATTGAAAATAGGCTCAACGTGGGATTGAAAATAGGCTCAAAATGCTTTCTCTACTTCTCCCACCTTCCTGTTTTTTTTTTTCAGAAGGGGTTATTAATTTGTCAGTAAATCACCCTAGATTTGTTATGAAGTTGATAATCCACCTTAGCCACTGAAAAACAGAGGACAAGATGCAACTAAAAGAAGTTCGTTGGAGACAATACTTGCAGCATTGTACCTGGGTACAATGCTGGGTTTGTCTGTTCCTCTGCATCCCCTAACACACTGATCCCAGGTTTCCTAAAGGAGGTTAGTAATACCTGAAGGAAGCACTCCAAAAATTGCCCAGCTGACATTTGTTATTAATTTCTCCAGCTAGATGTTCATCACTGTCCTTGTCCTTGTGGCCGAAGTTATCCCTGATCAGCTGATGCCAATTTGCTCCTGAGGACACTCTGAATAATCTGGAGACCGGAGACTTTTTGGTGGTCATACCTTTTCCCCTTAGCAGCTCCTTCCTTTTCCACCTTCCCTGAACTCTCAGTCTCCATTCCCCAAAAAACTTGAACTTGTCAAGTTTCAAGAAGTTTAGGAAACTAAGATGTCCATAGTGGATAATCAGAACAGTAGGATGTTTTATTTGGAAGCATCTATATCAAGGCTTTTCAAAAAAGATAGTATGGGCAAGAAGAAGTTTGAACCTAAAACTGGAATTTAAACAAATATTTGTAAGGGAAGCTTTAGTATGGGAGTGCCACCTCGTTTGGTTGATTCCAGTTGGCCAACAGTACTGGCCATGGCTGGTTGGGGAGGTGGAAAGGGCTCAGGGATCCTTCCTGATTGCAGCTTCCTAGTGGAAGAATAACTGCAAGAAGAAAAGATCGAATTTGCCAAAGCGTAAAGTAAGTTCTCCAGGAAAAAAAAAATTAGATACATATATTTTACTTAAATTTTTTTCCTATGTAGGTGTGTGTTTTTCATTCTTTGATTTGAGTTCTGCTATATGCAGACACTTGTGAGGTCACCCTTAGAAAATTTTAAATAAATCTTCATGATTTGAATATCATCCATGCAGATGGGCTCAACTGTCACTGTGCTGCTCCAGTTATAGTCTCAGACCTTCACTTGAGAAGGAGCATATGACCCTAGCCTGTCCTGGGATACTGACTTTGGTCTCCTCCTCTCTTCTTCCTCAAGCCAAACACTAGAAAATTGAAATACTTGTGATCTTGGCAAAGGAATACTTAATGTACTTCTTTGCTTTTCTCTCCTCCATAGTAATCTTCATTTAAGGATTTTGCTGTGCTATTAAATATTTGAGGGTATATAACAATAATGCTATGAAACATGCATGCATTTTTGTTGATTGTCAGTACATAGTTGTCCATTAAAGCCATGTTCCCTCTGCCAGATATAAAAAGCTATTTGACAGGTTTTATAGTATTTGATGAGTAATAATAATGTTGTAGGAATTATAGAGAAGAATGTTGTAAAAATTAGGATTTATTGGAATTTTCTCAATTAAGTGTGATCATATCAATTGCTAAGTATAAATTTCCACCGAAGAAAGTCACTTTATAGACTGCTACAACTTATCTTGGAGTATTATTTCTATATCTAGTTTTTTACCAATAAGGAATTTCATCATAATCAAGGGCAGTGTAAAGTAATTAGAGAGTTAGTAGTGAGCAGACGCAAAGATCCGATATAAGTGACTATACTGGAAACTTGAATTTTAATTTATAATATATCTTTAGCGTGAAAGTTCAAAATCAGAAACATGGTTTCTTGCTGTTCGGTTGCTGCAAATAGTAGCACGATGACAGTTCTATAAGGAGCACAGTTCATCAGCTAATGTTCACAGCAAGGAAGAACACACAGACCTTGTATAGGATGGGTTAGACTGGGTTTGAGTAGGAGTTCAAGATCACTGTCTACATAGTCTGATAGTTCCTTGAGGAGGTAGGTGTTTAACTGAGATAAAAAGCATTATTTCTAGTTGTCCGTATTTTGAGGCCTACTACCCTATAATCTGATCTCTCACCTAAGCTCTGCTGCAGAATGCTGTCACATAGACTTGAGTTTTTGGATTTTTACATAATCTTTTCTCCTACTGTTGAGAAGTGATTATTCCAGGGACCAGCAGTTAGCGTAATGCCTATGTCGCTGGACTCCCACGTAGTCGACCACGGTTCGCGTCCCGGACCCAGTGGCTTAAAACTCACGCTGGGTGCGTGTGCGCCCAAGATCCCGAGAGGACAACGGAGGAGAAGGGATTGCGGTGTGGCCATCCCCCCTGGGGGGGTGATTTCTCGCTTTCTGTCTCTCTGTCTGGCGAGCGCATGCACCCTATAGCAGAAACCTCTCAAAAAAAAAAAGTAAAAAGAAATAGAAAAAAAAAGAAAAAGAGAAGTGATTATTCCATATGTGGATCATCCTCCTTTTGCCTGTTCTCTTTCACATTTCATTGCTTTTTGGTGCTCCAATCAAAGAGGAGCAGCTGTAGGAAGTAAAATTCAAATCTGACTCCTAGACACATTTGGTAACAAATAAATATAAATATCATCCTCCACAATAATATTGAGGATTTTCCAGATTCAGATATTCTGGCCTCCCTTGCTCAAAGTCATAAACAATTAAAATAATAAAATATTTATACTATCATATCTAGAAGAGATTTCTTGGTCTAAGAATTAAGAAATAACGGCCTCTCAATCTAAAGACCTTCATATATTAATTGGAAAATTCCAAAACAAATATTTTCAACTACAAAAAAGAGTAACTACCTAGCAGAATATCGTTGCCTTTTTTAACAGGACAGAAGAGGTAACTCTTCTCAGCCATGTGTTCTGCTGAGCAACAATGCAGTCTCAGACAAAAACTGATGCAAACCTAAACCGAATGGGGCTCAAGGGGGAAACCCAGAGCTGCCCGGCAAAAACCGCAGCACCTTCCCGCCCTTTCTGTGCTGTTAGTTGGCAACCAGGCATGTCTCTTACCTGCACCAGAAACCTGATGCAGGGACAGGGTAATATCAGACAGTTTCACATAAAACATTAGCAGAAAGACATTACACCTCGTATCTAAATTTAACTCCATTAATCCTCCGAGGGTACTAGGAAAAGGAAGCAGCATTCTTCCCACTTAAGGGTAACCTTTCTGGGCCTTTGCAGCCTTGTTTTCTGCACTAACCCCTAAAAATGTTATTTTTATAACCTTGAACTCCTCTAGTGAAAACTCCTACAACAGTGGAAGTGCTCTCTAGCCATCCTCACCTCTAGTGTAAAGTGAAATCAAAGTTAAAAACAATTCAGAAACAGTTTCCTAAGGGTTTTATTTTTCTCTGTCTTTTTATTTTTTATTGCCGAGCTTACCATAGTCAGTGATTTTTAACAACATGCCCCTTTTAAGCTGCAAGAACACTGATATAAACCAAAACTTGCCCCCCCAAAAAGCCGAAGTCATCCCGACTTCTTACACACCGTGAAAAGTGGAGGCAAGCCCGGATTGAGCAGTCTCCTCAGCATTAGCCAGACAGGAGCGACTCGGATCTAGAAGGTATGGAGTCAGAAACACAGGCTGAAGAATAATAATGAAACTTGAGTGAAAAGCACATCTGTTCAGATTTTATTTTATACTGTTTGGTAGAGGGAATATAGCTTTTTTTTTCTTGAGCCTGCAAAATATGCATGCTCAGCTATTGCCTGAAATAAGATAACTGGCCTTGCATAGTCATAAAAGACATTATGTGCCATTGACTGGTTCACCGCTAACCCTAAAGGGTAGTTCTCTGCGATTTTGAACAACCACACCTTGTTTTTCAGAGGGGGAATGTCTGTTGAGAGGCAACTAGTGAACTTGAAATTACACAGATTTTGCCACACAGGCATATTTTATGAGTTGAGGAAGAGGAAAACTGAATTAAGAAATATAACGTTTAGTCCCAGGTTGGTGTTTTGGAGAGAAGAACTCTATCAACGTGGACAGGGGAATTTGTGCTAGCTGAAATAAAGATGTAAATTATTAAAATGTCCCATATTAGAGTTCATAAACTTAGAAATGTTTGGTCCTACTTGTGGATCTGTCAAATTATTCTAATTCCAAAGGGAACAATGTTTCCATAGCAGAACAAGCCATACAATGTCATTCCCCTCCTGGAAATCAAAAGAAGTGCCTGCCCTTACTTCCTTCCAACACTCAGCAACCTTCCCCTTCCAATGCAGGTGGTGGTGAATGCCTTGGTGGGCGCCATCCCCTCCATCATGAACGTGCTGCTGGTGTGTCTCATCTTCTGGCTGATTTTCAGCATCATGGGAGTTAACCTGTTTGCGGGAAAGTACCACTACTGTTTTAATGAGACTTCCGAAATCAGATTCGAAATAGAAGATGTCAATAATAAAACTGAGTGTGAAAAGCTCATGGAAGGCAACAATACAGAGATCAGATGGAAGAATGTGAAGATCAATTTTGACAACGTTGGGGCGGGCTATCTGGCCCTTCTTCAAGTAGTAAGTATTTTTTTCAGCCCCATAGAAGTCAGGCGTAAAAATGGGATCATTAGGCTCTTTTTCAACCCTAATCCAGAATCAGGATTACTCTCAATAGGTCCATGAGAACAATGTCATTTCCTAAATCAGTTTTAGGAAGACACCTTTCCTAACTGTTCTCTGACTTCTACAAGAGCTCATTTAAAGGAAATCTCTCCCTACGCTCAGAAGTAACAAATAAAGATTCCTGCAGTGTAATAAAGTGGAGGAAAGATCACCTCTCTCTCCTGGTCCAAATGTGTAGTTAAAGAGAAAGAAGAAAAAAATTAATAAGATAAATGAATATGCCAAATAAAAAAAAAGTGATGACAATTTTGATGGAGTAGAATAATCTAACATAATAGCTACACCAGAGTTAACTGAAGAAAAGAATACAGCGGTGCAGTGATGCTGACCCAGCAGCTCAGCCCCAGAGAAGTCTCACAGTACTGCATAACAGTAAGAAAGGACTTAGGTTGAACCACACAGTCAGCCATGTGGGATTCAGCCACCTTAACCTTCAGGCCACCTACTGGCCATCTTTTGCCTAATTGCATTCCATCATGCCTGTTGTCCTTTCTCACCAATTTTTGGAATGTTTGACAAGACATACAAGGCAATGGAAGCTAACAGGCTTTGGGATCATACGTAGATTTGAGCCACTCTCTGATATGTATTGAATAAGTAGCTTTGGACAAATTACTCAACCTCTCTGACTCTTTGTTCCTTCATCCATTAACTGTAGATAGATAGTAAGACCTTGCATGTTTGTTAAGAGGATTCATTATTTTTTTTGGGGGGGGTTGCTATTAGGATGTGTGTGCTCACTGGAGAGACAGAGAAAGACACAGAGACAGAAAGCAAGAAATCACTTCCCAGGGAGGGGGAATGACCATACCATAATCCCTTCTTCTCTAGTCTCCTCTCAGGATTTAGGGGATGCATGTACCCATGCCCAGCATGAATTTCAAGCTGCTGAATCCAAGACTTCAACTGCAGTTGGCCATGTGGGAGTCCAGCACCTTAACCATTATCACCTGCTGGCCCCATGGAGGAGTCATGTGTTTTTGTTTTTGGTTTCTAGAGAGGTTTTTGCTATAGGGTGTGTGCACTCGCCAGAGAGACAGAAAGTGAGAAATCACCTCCCAGGTGGGATGGCCACGCCACAATCCCTTCTCCATTCTCCTCTCAGGATCTTGGGCACATACACACACGCACCTGGTGTGAGTTTAATCCACTGAAGCTGGGACTCAAACCACGGTTGACTACATGGGAGTCCAGGGACATAGCCATTACACCATCTGCTGGTCCCAAGGATTTATGGTTTTAAAAAAATATTTTTAGCAGAGCTCGCCTCATGGCATGATGGTTAAGGGAACCAGATCCCATGGCCAGCTGTGCTCTTCAGGTCTTGGTCCTGGTGGCCTGAAAGACATTATAGGCATGTGTATGTGTGTGCCTAGAATCTCAACAGGAAGGAGAAATGAAGAAGGGTTTGCAGCATAACCACACTCCATTGAAGGGTTCTTTCTCTTTCTCTCTCTGGTGATCACTTGTGCTCTCTGACAAGAAAAAAAAATTTTCTTAGCACACTGTCTAGCAAATAGAAGTGATTAATTAATTGTAATTGCTGTTACGTGTTTTTGTTTCTGTTATTACCATTCATACATTATACAGTTGTTGGGAATCTTAAATGCAGTAGTGCAGGTGGAACTTCCAACCTAACCTTACTGATACGCACTCACTTGTAACTAGTAGTAGAAACAAAGTTAGTAGAATGAGCAGTAGTTGGCCAAAAAATTGGCCCACACAATGAATCCGATTTGAGCAGCTCCAGAAAGCCAGTGTATATCAACCAGCTAAACAGAGTCGCCACTGCAGGCAAGACACTGTGCTTGGCAGTACCCGGGCCATCAGACAAGTAGAGAGAGAACTTCCTATGCTCTGAAAAAGCTGCTAATCTGGTTGAACAAATAAAACACAGAGAATATTAAATTTGTCATCCATATTTGTTTCAAAAATTAGGCTACACATATTGGGTTTTTGGAAAAGTTATGCATTTTTCTATGCAGAAGGGAATAGAATTGGAATGGGACTGTCAAGGAGGAGCCAGTTTGGCCACTACCATAGGCTACACATGTTTATATTCATGAGAGATAGAATCTGACCTTGTGGGGGTTTTTTTAATAGTGCAACTAAATTTTTCAAACTCTCATTGTTAATTAACACCTGTTTAAAAATTGACTTCTCGGAGCCAGCAAGTGGCACAGTGGTTAAGGTGCTGGATTCCCACATGGTCAACCACACTTTGAGTCCCAGACCTGGTAACTTGCTTTCTCACTTTCTCTTTCTTTCTCTCTGTCTCTCTCTAGTCAAATAAATAATGATAATAATAATAATAATAATGACAAATAATTCTTTTTAAAAAATTAAAATAAAATAAAATTTGACTTCTCAGTGGAGAGCTAAGTTCTAAGCACCTTCAATAGATTCCTGCCATTCAGTCATAAACATGTTTGCCCTAGCTTTGGACAGCCTTCTGAGGCCCATTTTAAAGACCTTTTACAAAAGTATTGATCCAACTATCATTGTTACATATTTCTTTGCCAAACTTTGATGTTATTTTCAGGTACTTACATAAAGCCTATGTTAGCAAACAGAAAATTTTATGCTAAATTCCCTGTCCTGTGTTCTTGCTGAACCTGAGCCTGGCTTTTGGGACCCCCCACCCAGGCTCCTACCCACCCCTTACAGGCACAGTCTAATGACTGACTCTGTTTGCCAGGCAACCTTCAAAGGCTGGATGGACATCATGTATGCAGCTGTAGATTCCCGAAAGGTAAGGACATTCATGGTGAAAATACAACCTTCTCAGGTGGTTAGGAAGCAAGCAGTATGGTTCAGAGTTCATCAAGAAAGAAAAAGGGAGACAACCAAGGAGGAGTTGTAGTTTCTGTTTGGAATTTATATTGCTTGTTTTATTGATTATAGGTCATTTTTCTCCTCTCAGTAAGTCCTCATTCTTTTACATTGGCTCCAGGTGGTTAATTATTTTACTTGGCCCCAATATAGTTGTCTCCTCTTCAGTCCTGCTTTGGAATAAGTATCGTTCCCAACAGAGAGCCCTCCCCACCTGCTAACCTAGGATTTGCATACTCTCCACGTTAGTCATAGCGGGGTTAGTGCTCCCCCTCCCCTGGTCAGGACCTGCCAGCGTGGAGAGGCAGGCAGAAATAATCTAGGGCTCCCCAACCCTAGCTGGGTCAGCAGCTCAGGGGGACAGTTATGGCAGATGGCCTCGGCATGACAGAATCACACACCTCATCCCAAGCTAGGAGATGACTCTCCCTTTTTTTTCTGTCTTTCGGCAGCCCGACGAGCAACCTAAGTATGAGGACAACATCTACATGTACATCTACTTTGTCATCTTCATCATCTTCGGCTCCTTCTTCACCCTGAACCTGTTCATTGGTGTCATCATTGACAACTTCAATCAACAAAAGAAAAAGATAGGTCTCCTCCCCTCCTCACCAGTGGCCGGAGATCAACCAGATGACAGGCATTTCTGTCCCTGTCTCTAGAGAGAAAATGCCTCTCTTTCTCTAAAATGCATACTGTCACCTCACTGTGACTCCGGCCCCGCTGTACATTAGGCTTGACAAACTCTGTTCAGGGCTAGATTTTGCAACACGTGGTTTATGTTTACTAGCTGTCATTTATTCTTGAGACCTGTTGCTGATTTGGTCATGCCCCAGAGGGAGCTGGAATCACAGTGCCTATAGTAACAGAGGTAAAGAAGCAGATGGACAGCTAGAACAAGAAATTGTCTTTCATTGTAGTAGTCCCCCATGTTATTCCTGGGCACCACTGCCAAATTGGGATATGAAGGACCATCTTTGGAAAGTTCACTTTCTCACATGTCCCTGATAGATAACATTTGTCTGAAGCAAATTGAAAGGATTATTCTTCTGTTTAATTTTGTAAGTCAAATCTGTCCCAACAAACTCCAAGAAACCCTCCAACTTGCTTTCTTACACAAGAATTTCTACATTTTGAATATCATACAGGACTTAAAAATCCTTCTGTTGTATTTTAGAACACTTTTCCTAGAATTTTATCAGGAAAGCAGGCCAAAAAAAAAATGTTACGAGACTGAGCCATGAGTGTCTTCAAAGTCATTGCTTTTAAGTCTACTCCTCGAGGGTCTGTAATTGGGTGGTCCATTTCCTTTGGCAGAGCTCAGATTCCTGAGCCAAAAACAAAAGCAGTATCTCTCTGGATTAGAATAATTATCCCAGGGCTGTACTCTGAGATAGGTATTTGCTAAACTGACCTCTATAAAGAATAGATCTCCCTCAGGGCATGGTGTTGAACTTAATGTCTCAACCCCTAGCCTGTGAGAGCCAGTTGTAATTGCCTGTTCTCTTTTTCCCTCCTTTACTTTGGAGGTCAGGACATCTTCATGACTGAGGAACAGAAGAAGTACTACAATGCCATGAAAAAGCTGGGCTCAAAGAAGCCGCAGAAACCCATTCCCCGCCCCTTGGTGAGTACATTGTGCAGGCCAGGGGCACAGTGAGAACTCATTTGGAAAAAAACAGTGCTAGGGCTACTGCAAAGGAAGGAAAAGGGTAGGTAATCAGCTGCCTGGTGCCTGCTAATCTCGCCTAGCTGCCTAAATCAAAAGATGTGCATAAGATAGCAGAACAGGGATGAAAGTGTGGAGTGGCTTTTATATTAGTGCTTGACCTCAGCCTTCCTTGGGAAGCAAACAACTATAATAACATGTGGAATGTTGTGGGAAGAATTGGAGCCCTTAACAGAAAAGAATAGAGGGTTGTAGGGTGGATCTACTTCAGTGAAGCTGTCAGAAAAAGCCTCACCTAGGAGGAGCTACTGGAGTGGATAAGAAGGAGCTAAACACCTTCCTGGGAAAGAAACCAAGCCCTAGCAGCAGGGTGCTTCAGTGCGACCAGGTGCTGATGCACCGAAGGAGGGGGCCAGAGGAGGCCATGGCAGGCATCTCTAAGCCAGGTTAGCAATAGGGATTTTGTTGCAAGCCAATAAGAAGCTGTTGAATGTTTTCAGTAGGAGAAGGGTTTGACCCACTTGCTGCTTCGTAGAGATTGCATTGGATGAAAGCAAGAGAGGAAGCAGAGAGAGCACAGATGAGATACTTAAACAAGAGAACTTACAACATTCATGGAAAATGGAATTAAAATACAAGCTTCTTTTGGTGCAAAAAGAAGTCTTGAACTTCATGCATAATTTTTTTTATAATATGTGTTTTCCATTAACTTCTTGAAGAGTCTTTTAGAAGTCCAGATGAAAAATTATGGTGTAAGGGCTGAGGCTACAGTAGGGAATGGAATTAAGTGGGACTAGCATGTGGCATGGAGGTTAAAGTACTAGATCCCACATAGCCAACTCCATGGTGTAGTCCTGGACCAATGGCTTGAAAAAAAATCACACTGTGCCCATGTGCATCCATATGTGCCCAAAATCCTGAGGAGAATGGGTTTCTGCATGGCCATCCCCCTGAAGAGGGTGATTTCTTACTTTCTCTCTCTGTCTTTGATGAGTGCACACACCCTATAGCAAAAACTTAAAAAAAAGAAAAAAAAAAAAAGGAAGGATAAAAAAAAAGGAAGGATAAAAAAAAAAAAAGAAATGGAATGAAGTGGATAAATTTGAGTTATATTTTTAAAACAAGTATCAGCTACAACTTTAGTGGAACGATGGAAGATGAGAAAGAAGAAAAAAGACAAGTGTGACCCAAGATTTCTAGCTTGAGAGACTGAATGGATAATTGAGATGAGAGAGGAACAAGTTGGATGCAGAGCAAGGGAAAGGACTTGGTTTTGCTTTGCAGTTGTTAAGTTTGAGATGCTCACAAGTCATCAAGGAGAGATGTCAAGTAAGCATCTCAGGAGGTTGAAGGAAAGGCATGAACTAGAAGTGGGAAAATGTGAGTAGCATAAGTTTATGATATAAGCAGCAGGGTCAGACAAGCTCTTCTAGAGCAAAAGTATAGGGAAAG